CGAGTCTGATAGGGTGCCATGCCCTGGCCCCAAAGTCTATTTTGGGGGGACTTCATTGCTTTGCTCCCCTTGCTAAGAGTCACTTCTTACTCCTTTACCAGCCAAGCAATGCTAGAGAGCAGCCAACACCATCCCCAAACTCCCTAATTTATGCTACATGATTAGTGAACAGGGAACTGCACACACACTTCCTTTCTCTAGCACACCTAGGAGGCAGGTGGTGAATGTTTAAGGCTACATAGCACACCACCATTAATTAAATACAAATGCAACACTACCACAATGTTTCAGAGATAACAGGCAATTTCAGTTCGTATGAAGAAACAAGACAAAGTAGCTCAAACAAGTGACCAAAATACAGATCCAGAAAACTTTTCTGAGGAAGAAATACCACTACCTGGTAACAAATTCAAAATAAGGCTATTTAGGTGGATTGCGAGAAAGATCGAAAAAGCTACAGACAAAAATCAAGGAAAACTGGGGGGAAAATTGAGAAGGGTTTGAGAAAATACTACAAGAACAAACTGTCAAAGTAAATGAAAAGTTAGAAACCACACAAAAACTGCAAATATAAATGCGTAAGATTAAGACTATAATTTCAGAGACAGATTATACAATGAAAACGCAAATGAGTGAAACTGAATCATTGGAAGGCCAAATTAGTGAGCTTAAAGACAAATCTGTCAATACTAATCTGCTAGAAGAACGACTAAACATTAACAACACCCCCCTCCCAAATCCTAAGCAATCCTAAGAATTATGTGGGAAATAAAAGGAATAACTTATCTGTGATCAGAATTCCAGAATGAGAAAAACCCGAGAAAATCACAAAGAAAATTGTCAGTTATTGGAAGAAAATTTACTTAAAATCACAAAGATAAGCATTCAGTAAATTTAATGAATCTCAAACAGGGTAGAGCCAAAAGAAAATCACCAACCATATCATAACCAAATGTTCCAAAATCGAAGTCCAGGAAAGAGTCCTGACAGCCTTGGCAAGAACATTTTTCAGTAGAAACCAGGCAGCCAAGAAAGCAATGAGTGGATGCATGTAAAACTCTAAAAGAAGAGGCGGAGGGATGCGGGCTGGGGGGGGTGGGGTGCTAGCAGGGTGTGGATACGAATTATATGCCCAGTAAAATTGTATGATGGCAAAACTAAGATATTTCCAAATAAAAATGAAAAGAATTGGTTAAAAAACAAACCAAAACTATAAGACATACAGAAGGAAGTTCTTTGGACAGAGAACAACAATGGCAGAAAAACAACCTGAGATTAACAACACACAGAAGTCAACCCAGATATAAAAGTACTCAAAGTAAAACAAACCTACAAGACTAAAAAATGGGATCCAGAGATAACTATTTGTAAAGTAAGGCACTCACAAAGCAAAAGTAGAGAGTACCGTGTTTCCCCGAAAGTAAGACATTCCCTGAAAATAAGACCTACTTAGAGTTTTGCCTCTCACGGAAATATAAGGCATCCCCCTGAAAATAAGACCCCCCACTCCCCCC